TCATTCAACTAAAATGATTGATTGTCTTTGAAAAATTCAAATTTAAGTTGAACAAGATAAAGAAAAAAAACTACAATTCAAGAAATTACAGAACTTAAAACGTCGTTATCATTGACTTATAAATTCAATAAACGATTATTCTTTTACATGTTACGATTATCTTTATAATAATCCATGTCATCGATAGAGAATTAAACAACAAGGTAATAATATTGATGTTAGTATTTATGTATAAAGAGATATCATGCAGAAAACTGAAATGAACAATATTGTGCAAGTTTCTCCGATTATCGTATTAAGCACTGGATTCATCAATCAATGTAATACGCGAGTAACTTCAAAGTTTATTTTGATAATCTATCAATATATACACATCTACTTCCTACATATTTTCCCAGCTCAGTAAACATGAAAGATCAAATATACACTTCAGAGAGAACTAGAAAATTTGTGCTATGTTGTAACTTGTACATTAAGATAAAACACTTTACACTCAATAACGAAAACAGATCTCAACTCTGCTCTCAGATAATTTATCTAAAAAGAAGAATTCGTCTAGTAAGAACCAATAATCGAAAACAGATTTTCAGCAGTTCGAGTAATCAATATCGATATGAAACTTTTACCAGTCTACACATATTGTACTTAGGATATAGGCTAGAAATATTAAACTATTCTATTTTCTCACCTGATCAAATTATTTTAGAAGATTTCTCTATGGAGACTTCTGAACAAACAATATTGAAATAAAGATAAAAATTCTCTCGAAGATTAATTTTGATTCATTAAATTATTATTGAGTAAGAAATGCAACAGTACTGATTCTAATCGAATATTAGCAATCTCATCTTCAAGTTCAAATAAGTCGGATTATTTTTGATTACCCAAAAATCAGAAGTTCATGCATCACTATTACTAAGTTGTAATCTACTAGAGAGCATTAGAAATTCTTTCATTCTCTCGATTAGCTACTATTTTAACAAAAAATTGATCTCAAATACTCAAAACAAATTATTGATGTCAAAGGAAACCTTTTTTAATTCTCTTAACAGTGAAACTCTTTAAAGATTCAATAAAGTCAGTATTAATTCATGCACAATTTGAACCGATCTTAACGTACATTTATGGATTAAAATAGTTCAACTGACAATTACAAGACATTTTTTCAAAAGCAAACGATTTAACAAAAAAATTGAATATCTTTGCGTATTAGAAAATGATTGATTTTCTACATGTCACCAATGAGACACTATAGAACTTGTACAATGCAATGAAGTACAAAAAAAGAGCGCAAGAAAAATCATATAGCAATATGAAACAGTGTATGTTTGAAAGAAAAACTAACAAAACCTGTTTGTCTAACATTTTCTAAGTGATGTCAAACGAAATTTAAAGATTGAATACTTTCGAAAATTCGTTAAACATAAAATTTAGTTTCAATTTAAAATTCGATTAAAAAATATCAAATATTAAAATTCTTATACTTGCTTTTTTATTTTTAAATTCTTGAATACAAGACCCAGAAGGAACATCTAGTTTTAATGGAAAAGTACTATGTGGTGATGAATCCTGTAAAAACAATGGATTAGATAGATCAAAACAAACCGTTGAAGATGTATATGAAGATATTCAACAATCAGTGAGCATACCACAGAGAGATAGTACGATAGCCCGTAAGCCAACAAATCATCCGGAATGTTCCAGATATTCTTCATTATCATCATCATCACCAGCACCTGAAACACAAGGAATACCATCAGACACAATAGTAGTTAGAGAGCATGTAGAAATGGCACATTCGAATTTTTGTTTTGGTCTATGTCGTCGTTCGCAACAAAATCAACGTCGTGCGACTCAATCTAATCAACGCCATGGATCTATTTCGAAACAGTATCTGATGATTAGCTATAACTGGAATAGTCAAACTATATGTAAGAAAATCTATGATCGTCTCCAATCAGATGGATACACAATATGGTTTATTACTGTACATAAAGTACATACTATATTACAATCTTTTATGTGTAACTTTTATTCGTTTGTGTCTTAGAATGGACTAGTTGAAAAATAGATTCGATGAATAGTCAAGGAACTAATCACGTGAATTTATCATCTTCTTCGGTTAAAAGTGCATGCTGAACAACACAAATTTTCATTATCTCTAATTTTTAACGTGATGATGTGGCTCAGAAATTTGACTTTTTTGTACTCAACCTGTACACGATTGTTATTGACTTGTATTTGATCAGCATCCAGTAATCTTTGAATAAGATACACAATACAAATGTATGGGTGTTGTTACATTCCATGGACTTTATCGATAGCACTTTTATACAAGATCAAAAATAAATCAATCAAAACTTTCAAAAGGACGATTGATCAAATACAACGAATTGATTTTATTCATTTGTAAATCAAACGACCAAACAATTCATATGGATAATAGCGACGTTGTCAGTTCGTTTTTCTTTCTATAATAATATTGAGAAAAACAATAAGAACAAACTATTTGCCTCTATTTAATAATTGTATTGTTAATTGTCAAATGACAGGAACAATAAAAAAAACAAGTATAACGAGTATACATATAACTTAGGTTTTGCTTTCGATACTAACAAAATCTAATGTTTTGTATCTTTTTTCCACATATCCATACACTTCAATTGCTTTACGACAGATTTATTTTCTCGTAATTCTTCAAAATCATATATACACAAAATTTTAAAAGAATGACCTTTATGAACAGTCTCATTGATGTTCAGAATATGCATAGATGTGTTTATACAGCAATGGCTAGAGCAGTTGAACAATCCCAAATAATTCTTTTTAGAATGACTGAAAAATATAGACACTCGGATAATTGTCGTAAAGAATTAACATATGCATGTAAGAAACGTAAACGACTTATTCCAATAAGACTTCAAGAAAAATACGATCCTGATGGATGGTTTGGTCTAATTGCAGCTGAATTGCTCTATATTGATTTTACAAAAAAAGATTTTGATACAAATTATCGAAATTTACTCAAGGAAATTGAATCTGGTGAAAATGTTGTTCAAATAATTTTTATATCACAATTTTCATTTTCATTCGAATAAACATTTAAATAACGAATGTTAGTTGAGGAATAGGATGTGTATGAATAGAATCTTTTCTTCTTACATCTCTCATCCACATCTGTATGCCTTACAAAATCAAGAATAAAAGACAACTCATAAATACTTAATTGTATTCTTTTTATTATTATTTTTATCTTTTTATATTTTTTCTTTAACAAGTTATAACCTTATAAGTATTTAGCTTTTCTTAATTTCATACAAATATATTGTACATTTAGAGAGGACAAAAAAAATGAAGTCTTAATTATAAATATATTCTTCATGTAAAACATTTGATTGATAACCATCATTTGTATTTGGATAATATTCATCAGGTAAGATGATTTCTCCTACAGGAATTTCTATGTATTCACCATTTTCATTCATTATCGATTGTGATGTATTTAATTCATCATTTGTCTCGTAAGTTATCAATGGTTGACTATTAACATTTGAGTCGATAACTTGGGAATCATAATAATGATTTGTTATTGATGAAAAATGTGTTGGTTCGATATGAATCATTTGTACATTATCATTTTCCGTATTAAATATTGGATCTGCATCTATAACATATTCATTTGATACTATATTTGAATCATTTTGAGCATCATACACATGTGAATCTTTAATAATAGTTACAATATGAGGAATGTCATATGTATAAACCGTATTTTCTGCTGCTAGTCTTTGTATGAATTGTTGAACTTGTTCGACTGTAATAGATTCTTCAGAAGATGTTGCATAGGAAGACCAATTTTCAAGAGTAACAGATTCAGAATTTTTTGGTAATGATTCTTGTTGTTCGACATTTGCAACAAGATCGGTTGGATATTCATGAGTGCCAATTAGTGATGAATTTTCAAAAGAATGATTTTCATCATTAGTAACAGAATCTGATGTAAGTGATGTAGGTGATTTTAAATTTTCGGTCGTTGTATCTTGTTCATAATGAATTTCTACGTAATTATCATATTGAATATGTTCCGAATCTATGTCTTGTTGATCTAGAGAATGTTTATTATAATCTAATGCACCTAATTGATCAGTTAATTCATCAACATCATCGTTTGATAATAAATTTTGATGAGTTTCTTTTCCATTACTTGATGCATCATTAGTAACATCAGAATTTGTTAAATGAAGACTTTCATCAGTAACTGTTGATGGTGATGTAAGATGTTCGACATTGTTTGTTGTCGAATAATTGTTAACTTCAATTTTACTTTCCGACATTTGATTTCTCTTTAATTACCTTGCTCTTTCGATTCTCTTCTCAACGTTTTTATATCATATAAAAATGAATCATTAATGAATAATTATGAATAAACAAGAATCATTCAGGTGTGTCTGAATATTCACTTACGAGGTACGTGAATATTTGTGTTGGCGATATTTAATCACATAACTGTGTA